AACTTCATTTCTCCTTTGACTGGAATTTCTGTATTGTTGGCAGCTCTCAATCTCTTTTCCGTCGGTCTGATCTTTGTGACATCAACCATAGACTTTGGAACAATGGATACATTACTGCCACTATCAAGTAAACCCAATCTTCTTTTGCCATTAATTGTGATTGGCAGATACATGACATGATCGTTGCTTTTAATTGACTTGTTTACGTGATCCACTGTGCTGCTTGTCATTCCTTTCTGCGGGCACTCCCTTACAAATGACCTGTCGTTCTACATTTGTAACAACCTTTAAAATTCACTTGACTATAAGTTTGAGATTTGCAGGTCTCATTTTTCTGAGGACATTTGACTGCAAGATGACCTCTGTTTTTTTACAATTGAAACAAATTTTCTCTCGCTCAACTTGGGATACCGTTGGCTGCGCTCTGTTATTTCTGAGTTTTTCAAATGACTTTTGAAAGAATGCAATCTGTCGTACCATCGATTCCATGTTTTCTGCTCCTGCTTGTGAATCTTTAACCTGCGGGTTAAACCTGTGAGATGAATCTACCACCATCTTTAAAACTTCAAGACGCTGTGCAAACTTAAGAGCATCGTCAATGTTCTTTGGTTCTTTTTCCCTAACCTTTAACTCTAATTGAGCATTATCGAGGGCTGACAAGAAAAAGTTCCTAGCTAGATGTGTAGCTAATCTTGACTGCTCTCCTGGATAGGTTAATGACATGAGTCTTTTAGCAACCATCGACAACTCTCGTAACGACTCACCAGGTTTTTGACGAAGAATCTGTAATTCGTACCTGTATGACTCTTTATGACCTTTTGTTCCAAAACAATCTTCTAGCTTAGATACTAGCTCTTGGTAACCTAAACCTGTTAAATCCCAGAGAACCTGTGAAGCTTCACCTGTTAACAAACATGACAATTACGCTTCCATGTCTACGAAATTTCAAATATTGTACCTTGCACATATCTCAAACTTTTTAAGAAAGTTTGGAGACAACCGGTGCCATCAAATCTGCCAGGTCGAAGCGATTCGCAACAACAAAAGTCATTGTCACGCTCGGCACCTATAAGCGATTGACGAACCTGAGACTTCACACCAGTTGAATGAAGCGGTTCCCCACTGTCACACGTCGACTCGTGTTCAACTGTCTCTTTCTCTTGCTCGGTCGCTCTGCCCCTGTCGCTGTTACCTAAAATTTTATTTCGCCATCGAACTCGTTCGGTTTTTCTAATGATTGACGCTGATCTACAGGACGCTAATCGCTGCTCATTCAGTCCGAACTCCTGCGACGTATGATCACCCTGGCACCTAAAACCTGAAATATCTTGTGTGGGGATAAACCTATAACCTAAATTGTTTGCTGAAAAATCAATACGCGGGTTTTTTTCGTACCTGTCAACAATTTCGAAACGATTGTTGTTTAAAACAGTTTCCTTTTGTTGGCTGGCGGGCGTTGAAAATCTGCTCGAGGTTGATTTTCGATCCTCCTTCGGTTCCTGTGACCTAATACCTAAAAAAGTTTCAAGTTGTCAAACAAGGCACCTGTCACCTAAAAAATTTGGAAAATCATCTTGGCTCCTGCTGTATCTAAAACTTGTAATGTTTGAAAAAGAAGCCCCACGTTGGGTGCCAATTGTAGAATTTCACCGCCTTGCAGCATTCGAATTCCGCACCACGCGGTCCCAAGCCGCGTCTGCATACGAATATCCACCCGAGCCTTCACCTCGGCGGAGTCTTTCCTGGTCGGGATCCGCCACTTTACAATAGATCCTCTCAGGGTTTGAAAACACGTGCCGGGCGGAAGTTTGTTCGCGCCCTGCTTGTTGACTAGAGACGCCGACATCGTCAACTATCAGCAAGTCTTCTTCAACGTACATTATTTTAGGTAAAATAATTAAGCCGAGCCAAATTTCAAGTGTACACTTCTTTTATTCAATAAAAACAAAATAAAACAAACAAAATAGTACAAATCAAACCTCTGTCTTTATTAACGAGCGATAAACCCAAAATTAACAATTTATTAATAAGGTAGACGAAACCAAGCCAGAAACAAAACCTAAAATAAAAATAACGAACGACGACCCTCTATATCTCAGCTCGCGGCTTTTTATATGTTTTTACCGCTCTATCTACATAACGCTTTCTATATCATAGAAAATTCTATACTTCCTTCTATACTTTTTTTCTATACTCAGAACAGCACGTAGCACGCGTCGCATATATTGCTAAACTCCCTATATACAAAACAGCACATAGCAGCGTCTCATATATCGCATAAATAGCATATCAAATAACAAGATTTATACATACATAGAATGTCTATTAAATTATATAGATATATATAGGCGGCACGCAATCGCAATTGTCACAATTTCACAAAATATACAGACGGCATATTTCAGTCATGCAATCATTATCTTCGCAATTGTCACAACTTCACAATAATAATATACGATACTTTGCAAAACAAACGTTTTCGTAATGTTTTCAAACTAAATAATAAAATCAATTAAATATTCTAAATAATCAATTCGTAACAACAACAGAACAGAAGTAATAACTAAACAAAATCTAGACAAAAACACCAGCAAAACAATGTTCGAATTATCACCAATTACCAGAACGACCAAAACCAAACACGCAGGAACCTAACTAATTAATAACTCATGAATTTTTTTCTTTCTAAAACAATTGTCTCAAATACTTGTATACTAATTCAACTGAAAAACCATT